TATATAGTAATTTTCTCTTTTCATTTTTTCATTTTTAAATCTGTATTTTTTTCTTAAGTAAATTTAGTAATAGTTCAAATATATGTCAATAATATAAATACATATCTTGAAAAGTTCTATCAAAATATGAAGGCTGGAGACATGTCCACACCATAACAAAACCATATCGAAATTCATATCTTCTTCAGGAGGTGGTTTCAGACCATAAGAAAACCATATTTTCCACCATATCGAAACCATAACAAAATCATAACAAAATCATATCGAAATCGCAAAAAAAATAAACCTTTAAATAATTTTTCTGAGCCAAATGATAACACTCAAGTCTAAAAAAGTGGTACAAACATGGCGGCCATAAAGGGACCTCGACAGTACCTACAAACTCTTGCAGTGTGCTGCTCAGATGGTGTGTCCCGGTCTCAGTACTCGATGTCCCCCCTTTAACCCACCAGCATCTGATTCAGTCCGTCTACAGAAATGAGCTGGAGGAAATTCTCTGCTTAAAGGTTGACCCACAGCGGTATGCTTTTACTCGAGGTGTGTGTCTTCCGTTGTGACAAGTCAGGGGCCATCCTGATCCCCCACATAGACAACATCCGCATGGACCGAAAGACTGTAAATCACCTAGTTGAAGTTGAAATGCCGAAACACTGCGAGGTCCAAGCAGGAGCATCAAGGCTGTCATCGCTGCTGCGGGAATCTCTGCTAGAGACCGCAGTGAGGTTCCAAACCTACCAGCGACAAGTTTGCCGGACGTTGAGCTCAGAGGAGTTTCAAGGGCAGCTCGGGAAGCTATCTTCCTCAAGGAGCTGATCATCCGAGATTTTAGCCAGCAGTGCGGAAAGCCGCTATGGACGGACAGTTCGCCGCTGGCTCTGACTGTGGGGTTGCCGCTAGCGCTGGATTGATCAGCGTTAGCTGCTAATTGTTTCTGATAGCAGTCACCCTGAGTTGCAAGGTGATCTGCTGATCTTCGATGTGCAATTGCACCTCATGGCCCGTTTCTTGAGCCTCTAGCTCGATTGGCCGTACCCAGTCCAAACAAAAATAGCGAACTGTCTTGCCAGTTGCCAGGTTGCCCATATCAGCACACCAATGCCGATTCCGGTCCAACTCACCTGACTCAACCTCTTAGAAACGGAGTGTCTTGGCGAGGCAGATGCCAAGCTTTATCGCTCGGCAGTAGGATCAGCGATCTACCTGTCGCTGGACAGGAGGGAGATCCAGTACGCGGTGAAAGAAGCAGCGCGACACATGTCGCAACCGCGAAAATGTGACATACAAGCCGTCAAGACTCTTGCGGTATAAGTCGCATCCATGTCAACCTGTGATCCCAACTGTAGCTCAGAGTGGCCATGCGACTTGTATAGCGATTCGGATTGGGCGAGATGTCTGGAGACACGGCGAAGCACCGACTGTTACATAGCAGTTGTCTGGTGCAATCGTCGCATGTGGCACACAGACCCAACCGGACCTACCATTTCCAACTGCATTAATTAATGGGCAACATGCAATAGCGTGTTGATCGACCTGGCGAAAGCTAAGACGCGATGGACGGAAAAAAAGACCCAACAAGAAGAACAATGCATACCATTGTTATTGGGACAGGCAGTACGTTGGCTGCCCTGCCACAGCCTGAATTTGGCTCAGGACAACAAATGCCTTGATGCACCCGACCAGTTGTCCATCTTGACGACAGGCCGTGGCGGTTCTTCCCGCTCGATCTTGGTCTTTGATCCAACCAACACAACCTGGCGTAGGAGTCTTCCACGCATGCTGCTTGGTCACGGTTGAAACCTTGACCCGGGAACCGGAAAGCGAAGCCGATGCAGCCAGCATCGAGCGGAGCGACCCGTTTGCCCACATGTCTCCAGCAGAACTTGAACAGTGGAGACGGGCTGAAGACTGGTTCCTGGGGATATAGAGACGTTTCACCAGTAGCGTCTCACAGACAAGTCCACTCTAAGGAGGGTGGCAACTTCTAGGGGTAAAACACCTAGTTCAGGGCTAAGTAGCTAGCTAGGAGTAGAGATGGCATGTCATTTAAGACACTTGACGTGACCGCAGCCCTTTTAGCACATCCCTGCTACTCGAGGAGAAAGTGAGGTGACCGAATCAATTAGTGCTGTGTTGTCACCAACTGTGTTTTTGAACCCAATACGCACCCACCGTGTAACTTCGCTGGTTGCATATAGCAATTTACTTGATGCCCCTTCCAGAAGAGACACACGTCTATTGAAAGCTTTAGGTTTTGAAGATGTTTCAACATTTGCAACTATTTCTTTGGAGCAGATTCTTGCAGCCATGATGGATAAATTGGGGAAGACGGCTGGCTGCATGCTCGAACCCCACAGTTGCAACAGAGTGTGTCTGCGTGCGAACGGCAATGGAGGAATAAAACGTTATTTTGGTTTTATTTTGAGAGTTGGGGAACCGGTTAATTCACAGGGCATGGTTTCCTTGCATTGAAACATGGGATGGCCTCGATGTGTTGTTTCATTTGGAAATGACAAAACGTTCGAGTTAATAGCTTGTCAGGAGCAAACAAAAATATTTGTCCCACCTCGCTGCCACTTTTGTTTCTGTGCTCGCCGCTTTGGTTTCCTGCTTGCCTTCCAATTGCTGTCGTTTTTTTTCTGAATTCTGCCTTCTCAGCACCTATGGTCCGTAGCGGGCAGCAAATTGGCGCTTAATATGATTTTTATCCCGCAAGTGACACGGATCGGAAGGCAACAATTTTTCGTGATTTGTTTGCTGATTTTTTTCATTATTTATTGCCAATGAAACCGGGACGTGCATAAATTCAATAATGTTGGCACCACCAAGATCATAACAAAAATTACAATTTGTGTGTGCGGGCAATTCTTTCCGACGTGATTTGATTGGAGTGGGTTGACGTGCGTAATACCCACTTGAAATGGACATTAAAGACAGGGTGGGAAAAAACACCCTGAAATTTGTTTCCTGTTTTTTTTTGTGAGTTATAATTAGTTGTTTCAAAGGTATTGTAACAGGTCTTTCACCAGTTGCACGAGGGCATTGCCCATGCACGCAATGCGAATGGCATTGTTTTGTTTCCCAACAACAGGGCCCAGATCTTGGTGTTAAGAGACAATGCATCCAGCTGCCCATTTCAGCGCAAGTGTTGCAGCACCGAATGATCCGGTCATCACTACATAAGTACGTTTGAAACAAAATTTAAATACCATATAAATACCGAAAAATGCAGGAAATGCAAACATCGAGGTTGTTTAATTTTGAACGGCCCCATTTGTGGGGCACTTCCAGAATTTGATGCACACTTTTCACATCCAATTCTCCTATATACATATTGTTGACAAACCAAAGTTAAAGGATCCCAATCAAATGTGGACGCGAAGCACTTGCCGTGGGGCTATGGCGTCCCAGTGACATCTCACCATGGAACTCAAACTCCGGCTGTCGATGCCAGATGGGTCAACCGGCTTCAATGCGGGGCGCGGGGGTCGTTTGTGGAAAATCAGCAAGTGCCAACTTCCAAATGAAATATAGATTCGCCCAAAAATGAGGGTATTCACACCCATTGGATTGGAATTTTGAAAATTCAGATTGATACTTTTGGTGGATTATAGATCGCCCGCTTTTAGGACGTGCCAATTTGCACCACAGGCTTTCATGACATGTTACAGATTTTAAACAAAAAATATGATTTTGCATACTAAATGAACATCACGGTTTACATGCACAGTGTTCCCTCCAATTTGGGTCCAGTTTCAGGATGTTTCAGGTGTTTTGGATTTGCACAAATTGAATGGCCCACCAGTCTTCATGATTACTTCCCAAGTGTTCCGTCCTGGAGGTTTTTGAATATCAGATAGAAAAAAATGATTTTGATTGCAAATGTAACATCTCGAAATTTTTCAACATCTGAAATGTGATCAAATTAAGAACAGGATTTTGGTCCCAATTACGCACGATGAGCAAGACTTCTTTTTGGGAACTAGTCCAGGCATGTCCACCCCGCATCCAGTCAATTTTCAGACGTATAGTCGAGTATGAACTGCAATTTGAATCAATTTGTGCTAACAGTAACTTTCAATTTCTGGTTTTGATATGTTTTTTCTCTGCTGCCAGCTGTTTCAAAATTTAGCCATGCCATGATGCTGCTCGCAAACAATCCTCCATCCCGTCGTGGTGCGCTGCCATTGCCACGTGACTGCAGCAGGGATTTGCATGCTGGGCTTTGGGTCAAACGGTCAAACCAACTGGTTTCCTGAGATTGGCAAACGTTTCATTTTGGAGGATTTCAAACATGACATCGTTCTTTTGGTTGCTTGAAATCTGAAAAACAACATCTTGTTAATGATTTTATGTTGTCAAAAAATCATTCATTTGTTGGAGAGTGTCCAATCAACCGTAGATTGCCGTAGATGTAGAGATGTTTATTTGCATTGGAGACCTCTGATCCGAAGTCGAGACCAGGAATACCAGGATCCCTGGAGACTTTTTGTATCTTTTTGTGTGCGCTCCAAAGCCATCCAAAGCCCACTTTAAAAAATTATTCGTTTCCCCACATTCCACTGACGCTCAGAAACTTGACCTCCAGGTGCACAGGCACATTAATACCGACACTGTCGGGATATGAAGTACACATTCAGAAACAAACACATATTTATGACATATACATGTATGCACATGTAGATGAGTACATGAAAATAGGTAACCAACTTCACTGTTGCTGGGGCTCAAGCCCATGTCCCCCCGTGCTCTGCTTGGATTAGTTGTTGAGGGCTTGTCTAGTAACCTGTGGGGTTTGGGCTGCCCTTTTTACTGCACCCCCCCGTCCCTTGGGCTGTGCCTTTTCCTTTTCCTCCTTGGCTGGCTCCTCGGTGTCCTGACTGCCTTGGTTGGAATTTGGTGGCTTCTGGGTGTTGGACTTTCGGTCTGGCCTGCTTCGTGTGCCCCGTCTGCTCATGCCCCTACTGCGGTGTCGAGGTCCAAGGTTCTGTCCTCCTACCTGCATGAGCAGGGTCCCTTCCACAGAGAGCGCCACAGTTGACCTTTCCTTGACTCTCCCTTGTGGACTTAAGGTGTGCATCTCTGGACCTGCTGCCTCCTCTGGCCTGGCCGCTCAGCTTCTTAGCCACGTCGCTGCTTTCTCTCCCGAGGGTGCTGAGCCGTCTGAGTTTGAGTTGGTGTCTAGTGTGCCTGAGTCTGTTCCTTCTGGTTCCTCTCGGGTGCGTGGATTGGAGACCCGAGACCAGATCCGTCTGTCCCTTCGTCCCTGCCCCGCAAGCCTCCTGCCTTTGGGAAACAGGTTGGTGGGATCTTCCTTGTCAGGGAAAGCCAGAGTGGAGCGAGCTTGGACTTGTGGCCAGTGGGCATCTGCCGTCAGAGACTCCCGTATCGGAAGCCCTGACAGGACACCAGCAATTGACTTCAAGAACAGGTTCTACGCTGTCTTGCAGGCACCTGGACTTCCTCGTGCCACCATCTTCAAGTCTTCTGCGGGGTACTGGAACTGCATTGGGTCCTTGCCGGACTCCCCATCAATCTCCCAGTCCTTCCCGAGTGAGGTGGAGGCAAAGATCTACCTGCAGTCAGCTGGGGAGATCGAGCACGACATTGCTCCCTGAGAGCCGCGATGGCAGAGGCCGTCACTTTGAGTTTGGAGGCCCTGGTCACCTTGGAACACGATGTCGAGCCCTATGTGATGGATTGGCCAGATGTCTTGAGCGACGATGGAGAGCCCGAAGCTGCTGTCCTCATCGTGTCAAAACGGCCAGGTGGATTTTTGGCCGCTGTTCCAGTTGGTTTTCTGCCCGAAGAGGTTTTGGCCAATGGAAATGTGGACCCCCCTCCTGGACTTGTAGGGCCATCCACTGTTCTTCGTGTCCAGGGAAAGGTGATGGATCATGGAACTTTAGCCCCCACCGGAGCCCTTCTGACGGTCGTTGTAGTCGATCTGGACGAGGGGGTGGTGAATTCACTTCGCACAGTTGGGCAAGAGGAAGTATATCCATTCACCTTCGACCCAGATCAACCCTTTGCAATACCAGACCCGCCTCAGCTGTTGACCATGGTTCGAGACTGGCTATCAGCAAATGCCTCCTCCACTCAAGCAGCTTACCTCTCCCTGGCAGAAGAGGAGGCCGTGGACTTGGAAGATGTGCCACTGGAGGAGGATCGCTCTGTCAACGCTCCTCCCCCACGAAGAGCCAGAAAAGCAGCGCCTGGGCAAGAGCGAGCTTCAAACTCAGGAAAGCGACCTACTGTTGCAACCCTGGCAAGCTCCATGGATCAGCTTCTGCAGATGAATGCCGGCTTCTCCAAGAATCTGGAGGCCCTGACTCTTCGACAATTGGACTTGGAAAGGAAGATGTCTGCTCCAGCGGCTTTGCAACAAGGGCCCCATGCAGTTCTACACCGGCCTATCTCAGATTCCTTGGTGCCCCAGGTCACTGCGCCGAAGAGCATAGCTCATCAGCTGGGTTCACCGCCAAGAACACTTGCACCATCTGCCCCGGGACTGTTGAGCTCGCAAATGTTCAAACCTCAGGATTTGGCGGAGTTGGAGGTCGACAAGAGAGATGGCGGCCCATCTACATCGTCAGATCCTCTGGCGCAGGCTGTGCTGGCCCAGTCGCAGGCCTTGACAGCACTGGTGGCTCAGATCGCACAGACCAATGGCGATCCCATGTTAGAGCTTGGTTCAACAGGCTTATCAACAGGCACCCGAGGAGCCCAAGGCCGTGCCCGGCTTCAGGCAGAACTTGCTGCTCAAAAAGGAAGCTTCTTTGCCTCAGTGATCTCCTCGATGTCAAGGCGGATGTTCCCCACTATGACTGCGGAGGGCTCCTATCAGGAGCTGATGGACCGTGGAGTTTGCGGAACTCGCTACCTGGAGCGATTCGGAGGCTATGGGAAGGTGAGAGACCTGGGATGTTTGCAGTACCAGGTGATGACAATCCTGGACTCCTTGCAAACCTCCAACCTGCAAGCAGCCCGGGATCAGGCGGCACTTCTGGCAGTGACGTTGGATCAGGCTGCTATGGATCAAGGGCGTTTCGACTTGGCTCATCTACTATGCCTCCAAGAAGAACCTCCTGCAGCCGTCTTTACAAACAGACAGGCCAGCATGTTGGCGAAGAGCCGGGCGTTCAGTCCTTTAGCGGATCAAAAATGGGTCACAGTGGCGCTGGCTTACCTGAGAATTGGATGTCATCACTTCCAAGCGCCTCGAGTTGACGAACCAGTCAAAGCCCGGGCAATTCGCCAGTGCTTCCTCCGCCGACGGCCCGGTACAGCCAAAGCAGTAGGCCCAGCCCAAACGCAAGTCAAAGGCTGGGGGAAAAGGAAATCAGCCGGTGGCAACCGATGCCGAGGAGTAGCCAAAGACAGGGGATCCATGGATTTTTCCAACAATGTGGGGCTGGAGTCAAACCCACTTGTTGCCACTATGAGCCTCTCCAGATGGGCACTTTGCCTACCGAGGTTAATTTTGAAGACAAGGACAAAGTTTTCCCATTGCCTTGCTCGTTCTTTTGCTGTCTTGCGCCGTTCTCCCGAGACGGCTTCCGCAGTCTTCCCGTTGCCTCTGGAATCCTTGGACTCTTTCAGAGGTGGCGGCCCTCATTTGTCAAAGAAGCGCCTTTGGACTTTAGCCAAGAACCGACTTCTTCATGTTTGGACTCTTGTGCTGGATTTCATGTTTCTGGGTCGTTGGCCTACTGCTTCTGAGTTGAGGAGGTCCCCTACCCCTGAGCAGCTCTCTGTCTTTAGGAGGTTGAGGACTATGGTGTCTGCGTGTGGTGATGCCCAGGCCTTGTTCCCTGTTTGCCCCGGCAGATCCGGCCCTGAGCTTGGTGCTCAGTTGTTTCAGCTTGAGCTTTTGCATGTCGTGCCCCGCGTTTGCTTCTGGGTACATGGAATCTGATAGCATCCCTGCAAAGCCCGACCCTGGACTTTTGTCGGCCTCTGACTTTCCTGAACTCCTCCCCTATCGGTCTTTGGATGCTGACCGTCTCAAGCTTGTGGGTGAAGGAAGATGGCCCATGGAGTCTTTCTTGAGTGGCGTGCTTTGGCTTCCTTTCCAAGAACCGGCTTTTCTGTGTCATGGTCTTGCTGTTCCATCTGACGGGGTTCCCAACTTCTCTGCGGAAGATCCTGTGGAATGTTTGAAGCTTGCAAAACTTTGGGATGTTCGTGGCCTCTTGCACCTTGAAGCGTCGCCCCTTCATGAGAACTACTTCTCTAGGGTTTTTAATGCCTTTAAGGATGCAGAAAGGGACCGGCAGATTGGTGACCGCCGGCTGCCAAACATGTGTGAGTATCATGTCAATGGGCCCTCAAAGTTTCTTCCACAGGGAAGGCAGTTGACCATGCTTCGCATCCCTAGGTTCACGCATGGGATCAGAGGCTCCATAACTGACAGGCGAGACTTTTACCATCAGGCATGTGTGACCCCTGAGCGTGCCCGAACCAACATGCTGCCCTTTTCATATGATGTTGAAAGCTTTGTTGGCTCTTCGGCTCATGACTGTCTTGTGGAATCTTGTCGTGCCAGGAAGTCATCTCACCGTGATGTCATTGGAGACCGCCTTGGAAAGCCGATTGCAAAGAGAAGCTCCTGTGCCCTACCCACAAGGGTGTATCCATGCTTTCGGTCGTTGTTTCAGGGTGACCACCTTGGGGTTGAGTTTGCCTTGCGTAGTCATGAAGTTTTGTTGCAAGAGGCTGGACTTTTGGCTGATGAGACACGCATCGAGGGAAACAAAAACTTCCCAGTGACATGCAAATGGGACGCCTTGGTGATTGATGACTATTTCTGTTTGTGCTCTGATCGCCTTTCGACTTGCCCCAAAAACAGTTTTGCCTGGACTTCCCTTACAAAAGCCAGAGAGGTCTACGAGAAGCATCAGCTTCTGGGATCTCCTGAAAAGGATGTGGTTGCCTCACCGGCAGTGAAAGTCGCTGGCGCTGAGATTGTTTCCGACAGTGCAAACGTCAGGCGTGGTTTTGTGCCGGTAGCTGCACCTTTGGCCAAGCGTGTGGGATTGTCCACTGTCTCTCTGCGCGCTGCATGCTTGCCTGGTTTGACCTCTGGACTTGTCTCAAGGCTTGCTGGGAATTGGGTGTCCGTCCCGCAGTTCAGAGAGGTTTGGTCTTCCTTGATTGATGGGTTGTTCCTCTTCGGTGCCAAGTGTCAGGAAAATGAGAGTCATGTGCATGCCTTGCCAAAGCAGGTTTCTCAAGAGCTTGCCATGCTGTCTTCCATCGCCCCTCTTGTGATGACCAACATAGCTGTCGATTATTTGGATGTTTGTTTTGCCAGCGATGCATCGAATCGGAAAGGAGCCATCGTTGAGGCTGGCATTTGCCCCAAACTCCATGAAATCATGTGGCTGGACTCAGACCTGAAAAGCCCTTATGTGCAGCTTGACAACCCCTTTCGTGCGACGCTCAGGCAGCTTGGAGAGTTTGATGAAGATGAGCCCTTCCCTAGCGGTGATGGATTTTGTGCGGGACCCTTCAAAGCCCCACTTTTGTATTTTGACTTTGTCGAGATCTGTGGAGGCGCTGGTAAGGTCACTGATGCCATGTCTTCGTTTGGTTTCGTCTGTGCCCCTACTTTGGATTTGTCGGATTCTCGCCATTATGACTTGTCGTCCCTCGCTCTGTTGGATTGGATCATTCACATGATCCGTGAAGGGCGATTCAAAGCCTTCCTGGTTGAGCCTCCCTGCACTACCTTCAGCCCAGCCGCTCATCCTGCTGTCCGGTCTTACAGAGAACCTCTTGGATTTGACAGGACGCTGCCAAAGACCCTCCATGGAAATGTGCTTGCGTTTCGTGCCTTGGTTCTCATGCGGGTTGGTCGTAGGTACGGTTGTCCCTGCGGTTTGGAACAGAGCCGGTTGAGCAAGATGTGTTGGCTTTCTTTCTGGAAGAGCCTCTTGGAGTTGGACTTTGCCGAGGCAGTCATTGCTTCCTGCATGTTTGGTTCCCCCCACCGGAAGGAGTTTAGGTTCCTGTGTTATCTCCTTGACACTGGATTTTTGGACGTGCGTTGTTGTGGTGGTCACAGTCATGTCCGTATCCAGGGGTCGCTGACTAAGCCGTCTGCCACCTATGTCGATGGCCTTGCACTCCATGTCGCCACTGCCTTCCGTGATGCTTTGCGTAAGAAGAAAGCTGAGGGTAACCTGGAGCCAGAAATGCAGGGCCATGAAACTGTCCTTGCGAACGATGTCATGCTCAGTTCGAAGTGGTCCGTTGTCCGAGCCTGGTTCTGGAAGCGTCTTGGTCACATTAATGTGCTGGAGACATCTGCTGCGGTCTCAAACCTTGTGTCGGTTGGGCAGAAGCGCTCATCATGTCGGTTCTGTCATTTTGTCGACTCAGCTGTTTGCCGTGGTGCTTTGTCCAAAGGTCGTTCTCCTTCCAGAGCTTTGCAACCTTTGATGCGGCGTGCCGGTGCGGTCTGCGTTGCCTCTGACCTTTACCCCGGATGGTTCTACTGCCCTACCAGGCTCAACACGGCTGATGACCCTACCAGAGATCACCCTCTGCGGCTTCCACTTCGTCACTCCCTCATCAAAGCTGGCGTTCCGCTTGATCTCCTGCGGCGTCTCAACCTGTGTGGCCTCAGACGCTTTGCTGCCAACTGGATTCGGCTCATCTTGCTTGCCACCTATGGACTTCAGCCCGTTGCTGGTTCTTGTGTGCCTCCGGCTGTTTGGTCTTGGACTTGCTTTGACTTCGGCTGGGTCCCTGGTTTTGTGCTTTCTCAGTCTGGGTGGACCAGTGGTTGGTGGCTGCTTGCTCGCGGTGATGAGCTCATGCCCGGCGTTGGATTTATCCTCGGGCCTCTTCTGGTTTTCTGTGTCCTTGGTGTCTTCCGTGCTGTTCCCCCTCTCTTCGGGTCGGGTGGGTGCAGTAAACGGGGCCCCCATAAGGTTAGACCTAGAGCCTCCAACCTCCGCCATGTCATCCTTGCTGTTGCGGCCCTCTGTGTAATCCCCCTCTGGATACCAGCAGCTGCAGCAATGCCGATAGCTCCAGCTTCACGTGCAGACAAGGACAGGATGCTGCATCGAGCAGGCAATGCTTTGCCCACTACGAGGGCCGTGAGGGATCAGACACGAGATAAGAGGAAGGTCTATTTGGACCGCTTCAAGGCATGGCTCTGGCAGGAGAAAGGTATTTCCTTTCGGCATTTGATGGAGACGAGGCCTGCCGACCCCGAGAAGATTTCAGGCGTACTGGTTGACTACGGTCGTGAATTGTATGCTGCAGGAAAGGCCTACGGGATTTTTGCAGAGACAATTAATGCGGTGGCTGTGGAACGACCGCTCATCAGACGGCAGCTCAATGGCGCTTGGGATCTTGCCTTCTGCTGGCTGGCGGACGAACCGCATCAGCATCATCCGGCTCTCCCCATCTCCATCATGGCAGCCTTGGTCACTGCTGCACTGACATGGGGGTGGGCCTATGAAGCTTCTGTCATCCTGACTGGGTGGACAGGAGTGCTCCGCATAGGAGAAATCCTTGCGGCGACAAGAGCGGAGCTGGTGCTGCCCTGTGATTCAGCTCCTGGCACCTCCTTTGCCTTACTGGTGATACGGCAGCCAAAGACACGGGGCCGATCCGCGAAGCATCAGGCAGCTCGCATTGACCAGGAGGACGTTGTCGCTTTCTTGACAGCCATGTATGCAAAGGCTGACAGATCGGCAAGACTCTGGCGCTACTCAGCCTCCACCCTGAGAAAACGCTTCACACAACTCCTGACAGCGCTGCGGCTGCCTACAAAGAAGGATGGTGACTCTCGCCCTTTCGACCTCGGCAGTTTGAGGCCTGGTGGTGCAACATGGCTCCTGCACCAGACGGAGTCACCAGAGCTGGTGAGAAGGCGTGGACGGTGGATGTCAATGCGGACTTGTGAAATTTACCTCCAGGAGGTTTTGGTCACGACCTACCTGGAAAAGCTGGACAAGCGAGCACGGGATCGTATCCTTTTGTTTGCTGGTGGGTATGCCGAAACCTTGGAACAGTGCGTGACGTTTCTGGAGCATGGCATCCCACTAGCATCTTGGTTTTTCCTCCTCAGAGGTGCAGGTGATCCTATGAAGACCGCCGGAAAGAGTGGGAGCTATGGTGGTTTTGCAGAACCCTTCCAGCCGACAAATACTGGCTGAAGGCTGATGGAACTTCCAGGCAGACAGCAAAAGGTGCGGCGGTTTCCTGAAAATAGGTAACCAACTTCACTGTTGGTGGGGCTCAAGCCCCCCGGCCCATCCCGCCCTATGGCACCTCTGAGGGGTGGTTTTGCAGAACCCTTCCAGCCGACAAATACTGGCTGAAGGCTGATGGAACTTCCAGGCAGACAGCAAAAGGTGCGGCGGTTTCCTATATAGATGCATACTCTATGATTTGTACAATTTATACATAGAAATTGGGTGAGGGCCTCGCTTCGGAACGCGTCTTGAGGGATCGCTTCGGAACGCGCTCTCATGCATCGCTTTCGAACGCGCCTCCTCACCATCATCATCATCATCATCATCATCATCTTCATCTTCATTCCTCACCATCATCATCAGCATTTGCATCATGCTTCTTCTTCCGTTTATTCCTCTTCTTCTTCTTCTTCTTTTTGGCCATCCTCTTCCTCATCAGCCTCATCCTCCTCATTATCCTCATCGTCAACAGCACGATCATCATCAGCAGCATCATCAAGTTTCTTCTATTTTTCTGCTGCGTATTTATTCTTCTTCCTCGCCGCCAACACCATCATCATCATCATCATCATCATCATCATCATCATCGTCATCGTCATCATCATCATCATCATCACCACCATCGTCATCCTCCTCCTCCTCATCATCATCATCATCACCATTCTTAGCGTCACCATCATCATCATCAGCATCATCTTCAGATCATCCTGATCATGATCATCATCACCCTCCTCATCATTATCATCATGCTTCTTCCTTGCTGTCATCAGCTTCATCATCAGCACCACCATCATTATCATCATCAGCAGCTTCCATACCACCATCATCAGCATTATCATCATGTGTGTTCTTCTAATTCTTTTTCTTTGCCGTTTTCCTCATCCTCATCCTCATCATCATCATCATCATCATCATCATCATCATCATCATCATCATCATCATCATCATCATCATCATCATCATCCTCATCATCAGGTTCATCATCACCATCATCATCATCATCATTGTCGTCCTCATCATCATTACCATCATCATCATTCATCATTCATCATCGTCATTTACACACATATATATATATATACCAATGAATGTAATGGTTCAAGGGGGGCTGGTTGATTTGATACCAATGAATGTAATGGTTCAAGGGGGGCTGGTTGATTTGATAGCAATGAATGTAATGGTTCAAGGGGGGCTGGTTGATTTGATACCAATGAATGTAATGGTTCAAGGGGGGCTGGATGATTTGATACCAATGAATGTCATGGTTCAAGGGGGGCTGGTTGATTTGATACCAATGAATGTAATGGTTCAAGGGGGGCTGGTTGATTTGATACCAATGAATGTAATGGTTCAAGGGGGGCTGGTTGATTTGATACCAATGAATGTAATGGTTCAAGGGGGGCTGGTTGATTTGATACCAATGAATGTAATGGTTCAAGGGGGGCTGGTTGATTTGATAGCAATGAATGTCATGGTTCAAGGGGGGCTGGTTGATATGATACCAATGAATGTAATGGTTCAAGGGGGGCTGGTTGATTTGATACCAATGAATGCAGGGGGGCTGGTTGATTTGATACCAATGAATGTAATGGTTCAAGGGGGGCTGGTTGATTTGATACCAATGAATGAATGGTTCAAGGGGGGCTGGATGATTTGATAGCAATGAAGTAATGGTCAAGGGTGGCTGGTGATTTGATACCAATGAAGTAATGGTTCAAGGGGGGCTGGTTGATTTGGGGGCCCAATGAATTCATGGTTCTATGGTTGATTTGATACCAATGAATGTCATGGATGAATGCAATAATGGTTCAAGGGGGGCTGGTTGATTTGATAGCCAATGAATGTAATGGTTCAAGGGGGGCTGGTTGATTTGATACCAATGAATGTAATGGTTCAAGGGGGGCTGGTTGATTTGATACCAATGAATGTAATGGTTCAAGGGGGGCTGGTTGATTTGATGCCAATGAATGTAATGGTTCAAGGGGGGCTGGTTGATTTGATAGCAATGAATGTCATGGTTCAAGGGGGGCTGGTTGATTTGATAGCAATGAATGTCATGGTTCAAGGGGGGCTGGTTGATTTGATACCAATGAATGTAATGGTTCAAGGGGGGCTTGTTGATTTGATAGCAATGAATGTCATGTTTCTTGGGGGGCTGGTGGACCTGCATACCAACAAGACCAAAGGCATTTTGGTAGTACAACAAGGCTTTTGTTTCATATATTCACCTTCATTTTCTGTGGCAGGCGTGGGACCTTTTGGCATCGACCTTCATTTTGCGTGGCAGGTGTGGCACTTTTGTACATGGACTGTCCTTTTACGTGGCAGGCGTGGGACTTTATGACATGGTTGAAACGAGTAAAATTCTCATACGAGGCGTTTTTTTGTGTTGGTCTCGCTTTGGAACGCGTTTTTCTTCCAAAGTCTCGCACCTGTCAGAAAATCTGATGTGTGTGTGTATGGCTGTGTTCTGAAGTGATGTTTGATTTTGTGTTCTGAAGTGATGCAAAATGGTTGTGTTCTAAAGTGATGCCTGAGAGTGTGTTCCAAAGTGATCCTGTTACCCAGTAGAATGGTATGTACATGTGTGTACTCGGTTTCATCTGGGGTTCCTCTCGTTGTCTGGCGATGAACAAATTGTTCTCCGAAGTCGTGACATCTCTTCAGGACGGGTCATCAAGCTCCAGTCTTTGTCAGGTCGGGGCCTCGGGGCGTCAGTTGCAACAAACAGAAAAACATGGTTTCATCAGGTTTCATCTTCTCGCCACTTTAAGCAACAAGATTTTGCATCATACTGTTGTGATGATGATGACGATGATGATGACGACGGCCAGGTCCTTTGACGGCATTTGCCCTGCGCGCTGTTCCAGCAGCTCCAAACACGAGAGGTGCGGAGGTCCTTGCTTGGGATTGCTGCTGTGCAGTTGCCTGTAGTGGACATGGTCTAAGCGTAACTAGTCTTAACTCGTCATGAGATTTTTTCCAGCTATTTGTGCTTTCCGCAGTTCAGGGGGTGTTGGCTGAAGTTCCAGGACTTTAACGAAGCAAAAAAAAAACCAGTCGATCCTCATTGTGCCAGCAAAGCATCAGCCTTCCCTTTGCCCAATCCGATTCATGCTTTTATTATCCAACATTTTGTTGGAACAGACAGACTGGAGACTATGCGGTTGGGAAATTGGTGCAATCCCTGCCTATGTTTGTTTGAATTCCTTTGATCTGTGGTGATTGTGGTGATACCTCCCATTTTTTAGCGTCCGTTTTGGCGAAATCGACTTTCCCGAAGCTTTCCAGGCTGGCAGTTCTTGCCTCAGTTCTTGGGGCGGCGCACCGTGCTCCCAGAGAAAAGGTTTGGACGGATTGGGGGTGGGATGGGGTGGGTAAGGGATGTCCGAAAAATTGAGGTTTGACGGTTTGACCGTTTGACCAACGAAAGATTAGGTTTGATCCATAAAAATAGCAAATGCTGGTAAACCTTGAAGGACGGTGAGTGTTGGGTTGTGAATGAGGTATACGGTATACAGTATATACATGAATATAGACGACAAGACATGAGATGGGCAACCATGGTGCATGATGAGGCACCATTGGTGCAAGGCGTGTGTTCGCAATGCAACCATCTGGCTGCTTTCCTCTAAGAAATCAACAGGGCAGTTGCAGCTACATCTACATCATATACACATCATATACATACATGAGTGTATATATCTGTATACTAGACATATATTGTATTGCATATATGCACCTTGAACACGTGTAGATGATGTTTTGCCTGTTGGCACGTATAATGTCTTTCCTGGATTGACAATCTTGTTTCAATTTGGGATCACCCCAAGAAAAAATGACAAAACTGTCACCATGAACAGGCATGCTCCTCAATAAAACACCTTTTGGTCCAGGGGTCAACATGTATTCGGGGGTGACATGAATGATTCCTAATCCTTCTCTGTGGGTGATTTCTGATTCAAACACAGGTTTGTTCGTGAAATCACCATTTTTCTTGGTTAGATCATGTTAGATCTCTCTGTTTTTTGCATACTTTTGCTGGGCGCCCTGGAGGTAGCAAAGCCGTCTTCCAGGCCGCGGCCAGGACCTGGAAGCCTGGAAGCCTGGAAGCATTGCTTTGTCAACGAATTTGGCAACCGATATTCCACCAGTTTACTCCAGTCAACTTCAGTCAACATGATAACATGGAAATTTTCCCAGTTTACTGAAGACTATGCCTCGACAAAGTTCTCTCCCACTTTTCTGGGATTGGAGAGGAGTCAAGAATGAAATCCAAGTGGAACTCCTGACATTTGAATATCAGCGGAGGGACTAGAATTCACCTGGAAGTCAATTTTGGAACAGCCCGCGAATTTTGCAAGAGCTTGCGATCTTTTTTTGCAGGACCAAGAAATGCCAAGGCAAAGTAAGGGGCTGCGGACTTTGTCTGTCCCTTTTTTTTTTTTGCGAAGCAATCCGGATTTCATCACCAGGTTTCCAAATTTGTTCGGACACTAGGTGCAACAACATACGTTTTACAACAAAAACGGATATTGTAACAAAGTGGGGCCGTCATGGATGCAACAAATCGTAGGCGCTGGTGAGTCTTCATCACAGCATGCCTTTCTGTACGTGTCAGGGATAGGGGTCCCAGGAAAGATGAAAAATAATGCTGTGCCACTTTTATTGATGATTTACTTGTATTATCTAGTATTCGGTTTTTGATTCCTATACTGACTATACCACTTGTATGGTTGTATGGCCTACAATTCGAATTCTGAGCGGGCAATGGGGTGAAAACAAACAAACAAACACTCAGCTGGCAAGGCTAGCTCTGTGGGACAAACACACCTTGGAATTAGCCGATAATGAACTGAGAAACTATCCAGCAAGACTTCAGTTCCGAAAATTACGTAACAACTTCGTAAAAATAGATGAAATGCCATGACAAAGCCGTAAATGTTGAATATGATATACCATGATATACCCACACAGCCAGAGATCAACGTGAACAAATCATCTACCCAGGGCCACTTGCCGCTTGCCGCCAGGTGTTGCTGAATAACCTGGTCTCCAAGACTTTACGCCGATCTCTGCTGGCTGGTGATGTGGTGTTTCGGCTGCTCCAATATTTGGTGGGTGCCAAAAGAATCACCAAATTCCGCTGCGAGAGATCTTTGGTTCTTAGAAGCCCAACCATCCTTTAGGTCCAAAATCAACAAATCATTGGAAACACCCTATTTCTGCTTTACCGTCCATTTCGACATCATGCAACAAACTTTTGTTGGGGGCTTTGGCATGTCTAGCACCCGACGGGTTTGTCTCGAACACCGGGGGTACCACAAAATCTCATTGTTCATTATCATTTCCGCATTAAAATTGCGATGCATCATATAGCAGCATCTGTCGTTATCTATTATATACCATCATCGACATAGATCATCGTCATACATATATATATATATCAATATATCAATATCTAGATTCCAGATACATATCACAATAATTAACAATATCAATATCAGTATCAATATCAGTATCTATATCTATCTATATCTATCTATATCTATATATATATATATCTACATCTACCTACTTATATATATATATATATATTTCTATATGTATCTATCATATTCCACTGAACACCGACACAGATCACGGCTTGGTGCGAGGTCTATTAGCTCCACAAAGCGCAGGAAACGAAGTCCTTGGTGGCCACCGTGAGGGTCTATGGCCTGGAGGTCGAGAGCCGATGACGGGTGAAACAATGTGAAACATGTGAAAGTGATGTGAACCGGATGTGATTCACAGATGTGGAACTGTTTTTTAAGGCGAACAAACAGGTAGAAAACCATAGAAAACCATCAAACAGTCCAGGCTTCCTATGGATTTTCGTTTTGATGTTGGTTGGACTTGCCGTGGCATCCATTGCCAAGATGGCAACCATTGGAAGTGTCATCCCAGGAAGGCCAACCATTGGAATTTGCAGGCGTGGACTGGTGGTGTTTTTCTGAAGGCATTGCCCCCCCAAGAAGATGTGTTTTAATAGGAAAATGAAGATGAGCCAGTGGATGGAATAGGGTAAAACCGTAAAACCCCTGAATCTTCAGAGAAATCCACCTAAGTTTATGGATTTGGCTGCCGAAAAAGAAAACAGGCATCGGTCATGGCTCGGATTCAAGCTCTTTTGCAGCTTGGACGCCCCTGGAACTGACTGGCCATACAGAGGTGTGAGCCATACCGACATATGACAGCGTCCGAATGAACCAGGCTCCGGTGGCACCCAGAAGGAAGCGGAACTACGGGTCACTTGGCAGTTTTCGGTGCTGGTAATCCACAAGTTGAAGCACCTTTGTTCATCCCTGTGGGTATGATGTGGGTATGATGTGGGGATGGAAAAACAAATTGGCCCCAAAATCTCTGGATCAGTGACCGATCAGAAAAACTGGCCATGAACGTCCGCGAGGCCTGCATTTCATGCATCTCATGCATCCCATGCATCTGATTGTGTCTCTTTAAACTCACGTCATTTCACGAGACCGTCAAAGATCAATGAATATGTACATGTAAAATCATGTAAATAGTTAGTCAATGAAAGTTCTTGTGATAGTGAGGTGTAAGATACCATGTATATAGTGTATACGTTTTACATCGTTTTAACATATCTTTACAGTGTTTAACAGCTGATTCAACTACCAACTGCTGTATACTTATTTTTTGTCATTCTGGCAAAAAATCAACCCTAATATTTGGCCACATTTTTGTCGCGGCTTCAAGCCATGAAGATCTGGGGATCATCCCCTGGTAATTCTTATGATAATCATTCCTCAGATTAAATTTATGGTTCAAGACATAATCCCAGGCAAGTCTGCAGCAAAAAAACACATATCCTGATCATTTCCTCATTTCTTGGTGGAATGCCTCATCACCCTCGTGGAAACAGGAACGGAAAACCCAAGTAGGCACTGCCTGGTGTTGTCAGTCGTTAAATCATCAAAGCCATCCTTAAGCCGTTAAGCCTCCATTTGGGTTTGTCTGAAAATAGGGTATATTCCCAATTATAGCCATTTAATAGGGATAATGATCATTAACCATTGGGTTTAGGGGTACACTTTTGATGTCTTTTGACCTTGGGATTTCCCAATCCGGATTTCCCATGTTTTTCCAGGCCGCCGAGGCGGCGCTGGCAGCACTGCCTGCGGCGCCAAGCTTCGAGCCGCGCTATCCCAAGCCGCAGGCGGGATCTTCGTTTAGGGACTCCGGGGAAAAGTGTCATCATACCTTGGGTATATATGGTTTTATGATGTCATCAGTGATGTCATTATGATGTTATGAATTCTTATGATGTTTAATGGTATAATGTGGGGTATGTCATTGGTTATATATATATATGTACCTGGTTTGGGAAACTTTTGGTTGTTCCCGAAGTCGAAAATCACCACTGATTGTGTTGGTTTTGCTCAGGATGCTGCGGCTTGGGTGACTGACCAGCTCAAGACTACGGACACTGTGGAGTTGGTGTTTTGGACGAATTGTTGCGAGACAGATTTTGAAGATGGAGCTATTCAGTGGATGACTTTTGACAATTGGTGGCAATAAATAGTCCCAGTATTTTTCACTATTTGAATAATTACAAGAGAAATCAGAGATTGGGCCTTTGGAAGCTCAGGATTCCACCATGGCAGATGTTCTTCCAACCCTGGTGCCCCGGCAGTGGGTTGGGGGTCAAGTCAAGGGCATACTATATTTGGGATACTTCCTGATGTTGGCACATTGGAATGATGTCCAATGGATCTGGCTCCAGATGTACCTTCAAACCCTGGAAGCAATATACAAAGCATCCAAGATGTTCGACTGTGGATTAAATTATCAGGTTCAATGGGAACCAGCTGGATCTGCAAATTGAAGTGGCTTCTGTTCCACTGAAATCCTGCTGAAGCACCAATCTGTGAGTCCCTGACGAGAGCGGGTTGTGCATCAAGTTTGACTCCGAAAGCTATACAACTTCCGCGTGGTTTCATTTTTGCTTCAATTATTTATTTCCAATTTCAATCTTGGTTATCCAAAGTGAATGTTTTTTTGGAAGGCGGAAACTTGAACCCACCCATCATCGGCGGGCCCAGGTGGTACCAATCAGAGTCAATGCTCAGAATGGCTAGTCCATTTGTGACCAATTTGTGGCTTCAGCTCGTTGGCATTTTTGGGATCTCAGGCGCATTTGCCAGAGAGCCTCCAGACTACTGCGTGGCTTGGCGCCAGAAAAATCAGTGAAGACTCTGAAAGACAAATTGTGTATTCTTTAGAATGACTTGTCTGAGTTTTGTTTGCTCTAAAATTTAGAGACTCTAAAGGATATTTTTAAAGGAATTGAAAGCATTCATTTGAGACGACCAAGACTTGAAAGTCATCTTTGCTGGAAGGTCCTTTAACCTTGAGGAGCCTGGAGCTGGGGCTGGAGTGAGATCTGGGAATCTTTTTGTGGCCCACTAGGTTGAATGGCCACTCCCAGCTGCATTTTTCAGGTTCATCTTGAGCTAGGGTCCTTTCTTTGAAAACGAGTGCCTTAGTGGGGATATACAAAACAAGCATGTGCACGACATCACCAACACTACATTCATGCAGGAATCCTGAGATAGGAAGTTAGAACAAAGAGCCAAAGAGCCAAACTGTTCAAAATCTCCATCCCTGCCATCGCCATCCCCATCTGAAAGAACTCCAGGAAGAGCCCTGCCGCGTGGTGGTGTCCAAAGGTGGCGCCGTCACGGCCGTCACGTTGCCCAAGGCGCAGATGTGGCCATGGCTGACCGAATTGTTAAGATACCACGGAATAGCCCTGGAATGTGGTTACAACATGTTAGCAACTTTTTTTATTCATATTGAATATCGATTTTTTGGTGTATTCATGGAGTATCATGGCATATCCCAGTTTCAGAGTCCATCCATTTGGAAGGCTTTGGCTTCACCTGGGTGGGGTATCTTAATGACAACTTTGACCCTACCCATTCAACTCATTACTGTATACATCCATGGTCCATAGCCCATAGCATCATGTCGTACATAATCACGCAATTTCATGTATATTCATTATATATATACACGTATTATATATATAATATATATAATATATATAATATATATATAATTATATCTATCTATCCTATCTATCCTATCTATCCTATCTATCCTATCTATCCTATCTATCCTGTCTATCCTGTCTATCCTGTCTATCCTGTCTATCCTGTCTATCCTCTCTATCCTATCTATCTATCTATCTATCCATCTATCCATCTATCCATCTATCCATCTATCCATCTATCCATCTATCCATCTATCCATCTATCCATCTATCCATCTATCCATCTATCTATCTATCTATCTATCTATCTATCTATCTATTATCTATCTACCTATCCTACTACCTACCTACCTATCTATCCTATCTATCCTATCTATCCTATCTATCCTATCTATCCTATCTATCCTATCTAGCCTATCCGTCCTATCGAGCCTATCGATCCTATCGATCCTATCTATCCTATCTATCCTATCTATCCTATCGATCCTATCTATCCTATCTATCTTATCGATCCTATCGATCCTATCTATCCTATCTATCCTATCTATCCTATCTATCCTATCGATCTTATCGATCCTATCGATCCTATCGATCCTATCCATCCTATCCATCCTATCCATCCTATCCATCCTATCCATCTATCCATCTATCCATCTATCCATCTATCCATGTATCCATCTATCTATCTATCTATCTATCTGTCTATCTATCTGTCTATCTATCTGTCTATCTATATATATATATATTATATATATATATAGATATTCGCATTTATTTGGTTGAAACCTGTGGGTTTTTGCTTGGTTCACCAGATCCAGGAGGTGCGCTCCATTCTCGTGAGTCGCAAGACGGAGGGCGGAAAGCTGGCTGTTGGGGAGCCAAGTCGGGACTGAAGAGATTCCTGGAGAAAATTGGGGGACCCCCTGTGTAGGTATGGGTCAAAATGGGTCAAAATGGGTCAAAATGGTGGAGGGACCTCCAATTTATATCATATTGCAGTCAATTTGCCTTTCTCAAGACACCGCCATTTGAAGATTAAAACCTAGCCGACCTAGCCTCTACTGATCAAAGAGATCAAAGAATCAGAGATTAGATGAGCCAAAGTTTATCAAAGTTTCGACGTCACATCAACGCCGTTTTATTCCCCAAACTCGTCTCGTCCATTGATAGAAACTCGACGAAGAATTCCCCGTCAGCAGTAAGGCAGCCATGCGTGCGCGCTTGCTCGGAGAAGATGGACAAAGTTATGAAGCCTTAGAACTGAAGATGGCAGGCAAAAGTGTGCCTTGATCCAAGCGGTTCCAAGCGGTTCCAAGTGCCATGTTGCCATGGAGAGATTTTGATCTAAAGCCCATGACGAATCCTGAAAAGGGCGGTTCTCTGGGAGGGAGGTGCCATATATTTTGGGGTGAATTCATTAGCCATTGGTTATCTACGTACCCAAAGGACTAGGATTCATATGCACTCAAGCCGGGTTAGAGTAGGATCCCATCACTGTGTGGTAGCTGCTGGTCTTTTTTCCATGGTGCCATAAGGTTTTGTTTGTTGCACAGATCTACGAACATGGGAGAAAATGCCAGCAGGTTGCCTGTCACGCTTAGATCTTTGCCTCCTAGGGACCTAGGAAGAACTCCCCGACCCGGAGATCGCCCTTCCAAAGGCTTGCAGGGAAGCGGCCATTGCAACAAAGATTTTGCAGAGGCCAGCGATTCGATCGATTCGAGGCATACGCTTCAAATTTTGAGAGGCCATGGCCATCTTTGGTTTTTTCGTGTTTTTTCCAGAGGCCATGGCAATTGAACTGCCAGGTTCTTTCCAGAGGAGTTGTGCATCAGCCTCGCACCTAGAGCTCTCCATGGGTTGCATCCATGGTCCCTGGTTACGCCCACGTTGTGTTGTTGGTGATCTCCCTTCTTTGGTAACGATCTGAAGGATGTTTACCATGCCGGTGTACCCCCCAGGTATCAGTTGGTTAACCCCATGAGCTGTAGATATACCTTTCCATAAACTATAGTGAATCTATGTGAATCTAGTTATAAATCCACTTGGCTATGTTTTGGGGGCCCCACCCTGTAGTATTGCTGGGTAAATCTTCCATTTTTGCTGCTCAAAGAACGGCCATTCCCAAGGCTTCTGGGCGCGCTTCCAGCACTTTGAGGGCTACCGGGCGCAGGGGCTCACGCTCAGCGTTGTGAAGCTGCGAAAAGCTGCCATTGGGGGGGACCTGAACATGGGCCACAAAAATTGGAAATCTATTCATAGGGATAATCTGACAATATCTGACAAACCATCAAATTGTGGGATAGCTGATTTTCAGACACACCCACATGAATGTTTTTTCGGGTAGATCAAATCGTGGTAGACGATCCATTGGGTGATGAATTTGGACCCATGCCCACACCAACAATCCATGGTTCCCTGAGACAGAAAAAGTTAGGGTGCCAACTATTCTGATGGTGACTTCTTGTTCTTTATACCCCTATTGGAGAATCTTGGATACAGGTAAGTGAAGAAATGCAACAATTTTTAGGTCTGGAATGGAGGGATTGAGTTGGTGATTTCCCGTAGCTTCAAACCCCGGGTCTCGAGTGTCTCATTGATACCCTCTGGTCAAACATAGCAATTGGAATTCCCCCATTAGTTCGATTTTGATGATTTTCCCAGAAACCTTCGTTTGGTTCGCGGATTTTCCAGCCACGTTTGATGACAGGGTATTCCCACTTGAGGTTCACCATGAAATCCATCATCTATAGGGGATTATAGGGGTTGATTCCATATTTTCACCCATGTTCTCTTCATTTTGACCACGTTGATATCGATGAAACCCATGAGACCAGCGACTCTAAGTTCCATCGAGCACATCATGGTCGACGCCACCCGTGCCGGCATGGCCCGGAGTTCTGGACCTGCCTGCCACAATGTGCCAGACAAATTCACTATCGGATAGATATGGATAGATATGGATAGATATGGATAGATATGGATAGATATGGATAGATACTTATCATACTTGGCCAATATTGATCATGATCATTGCAGTACATACTCTCAGTTTATCAGTTTTATATCTCCCAAAATTGGAGGGAACATTCTCTCCCAAGATTGGATTCTTTTCCAAGCAGGATTTCTTACACACAATTCCCTGTCAACCAATCCAATCCAATGAGTGTATATAGTTTTTTTCAACAAATGATGAAAATGGATGGACAAAAACCAATGGTTCCACGGTTCGGTTCCAATGGTTTTTTTTGTATCATCGATTTCCCCTATGAAGCCCATGGGCCCCCCTCCACTGGCCAGGTGGTACTCACCAAGATGTTGCCGTTGAAGCAGAAGTATGTCCTTCCAGAGGCCAATCCCAAGCGTGGTTTGAATAGCAATAGCCATAAGACGTTGAGTCAATAATGTATGTATGTATATTTATAACTTATAATATAATGTGTATATAAATGGGCTAACGCCCAGGTGCCGCCGACCCCCTTTCAAGGGCGGAGCGGCGGGGAACGGTCAAAACGGCCCACACGTGCAGTAGTCCAAACGTACAAATATTATGGAACTTTTGAAGGACTAGGTAGTGTAAACATAGATTGTGGGACAATAAATCGAATGTATTGATATCAGGGAGATCCGTGTCTGTTCATCGTAGGGTTGTGAGGTTCTGAAGCCTTCGAAAGCTGCTGCGGAGGTTTTGAGGGTTTTAAGGCCTGCCCAAAATGTGCCACGTGGCAGTTTCGAAGCCCAATAGAAACAGCTTGTGGGGCCTAGGGAGGTACCATGGCCAAAGCAAGCGGGACGCCTGGGAAAGCTGGTGCGGTTGTGAGGTGCTGAGGCCTTCGAAAGCTGCTGCGGAGGTTTTGAGGGCTTTAAGGCCTGCCCAAAACGTGCCACGTAGCAGTTTCGAAGCCAATAGAAAGAGGTTGTGGTGCCTAGTACCATGACCGAAAGCTGCTGCGGAGGGTTGTGAGGTTCTGAGGCCTTCGAAAGCTGCTGCGGAGGTTTTGAGGGTTTTCAGGCCTGCCCAAAACGTGCCACGTAGCAGTTTCGAAGCCAAATAGAAACAGCTTGTGGGGCCTAGGGAGGTACCATGGCCGAAAGATGCTGCGGAGGGTTGTGAGGTTCTGAGGCCTTCGAAAGCTGCTGCGGAGGTTTTGAAGGTTTTAAGGCCTGCCGAAAACGTGCCACGTGGCAGTTTCGAAGCCCAATAGAAACAGCTCGTGGGGCCTAGGGAGGCACCATGGCCGAAAGCTGCTGCGGAGGGTTGTGAGGTTCTGAGGCCTTCGAAAGCTGCTGCGGAGGTTTTGAGGGTTTTAAGGCTTGCCCAAAACGTGCCACGTAGCAGTTTCGAAGCCCAATAGAAGCAGCTTGTGGGGCCTAGGGAGGTACCATGACCGAAAGCTGCTGCGGAGGGTTGTGAGGTTCTGAGGTCTTCGCAAGCTGCTGCGGAGGTTGTGAGGGTTTTAAGGCTTGCCCAAAACGTGCCACGTAGCAGTTTCGAAGCCCAATAGAAACAGTTTGTGGGGCCTAGGGAGGTACCATGGCCGAAAGCTGCTGCGGAGGGTTGTGAGGTTCTGAGGCCTTCGAAAGCTGCTGCGGAGGTTTTGAGGGTTTGAAGGCCTGCCCAAAATGTGCCACGTAGCAATTTCGAAGCCCAATAGAAACAGCTTGTGGGGCCTAGGGAGGTACCATGGCAAAGCAAGTGGGACGCCTTCGAAAGCTGGTGCGGTTGTGAGGTGCTGAGGCCTTCGAAAGCTGCTGCGGAGGTTTTGAGGGCTTTAAGGCCTGCCCAAAACGTGCCACGTAGCAGTTTCGAAGCCCAATAGAAACAGCTTGTGGGGCCTAGGGAGGTACCATGGCAAAGCAAGTGGGACGCCTTCGAAAGCTGCTGCGGAAGGTTGTGAGGTTCTGAGGCCTTCGAAAGCTGCTAGAGGAACTTGGAAAGGTTCCGAGCCTTCGAAGCCAATGCCGCACACCTACGGTGATCCCGGGCGCCGCCCTGCCTAGGCCAAGGCTAGGCAGGGGTCGGCGGATATACATATATACATACACATATGTATTATACATTTGTATGTGTGTATGTATGAGTGTATAGATATATATATATATATATACATACACGTGTACATATGTATACATATGTATACATATGTATACATATGTATACATTCACACACATACATGTACAGATTTATTTGGAACACCAAAATAGGTTTGTCCAGACTGGATTGGATGCCCGACTTTGCAAGTCGAATAGTAGATCCGTGGGATTTTGGGAGCCAAGACCGACTGTGCCAAGCTGTTTGGGTAAGCGGAACTTCAACGGATCTGTTTCCCACCAGACTCTGGTATGCTGAGGCTTGGGAGGAGTAGCTTCAACTGGTTTCCCCAAGTCATGGCACTGTACTCCAGTCCTTTTAAGAGCTACATTTGACAACATCAACGGCAGTTCTTTCAATTTTCAACGTCGGTCTGCTGAACTGCACTTGCGCGTCGCGGAACATTTGGATCTCGGAGCATTTTGAAGATATCTCGAGGCGTTCGCATTTCACAAAAACATCGCGCATCGCCATGGTCATCGCAGTCATCGCAGCGGTCCTGTGGGCTACCACTTTCAGCGCCTGGGCGGATGAAAGTTGCCTCTTACAGGGCATGCCCGCCAGCCAGGAGTTGCAAGTGGAGGCGAGAGAGATGGTGAGGAAAAGTGGTTCGTTGGGACATGAACAGCGGTCATTTTGGGAATGAAACACGATGAAACTTGGAGGTGGTTGCAGCTCGCTATGGGTCTGAAACCTTGTGTTTGGGGAGGTTAAGAATCTGCAACAATATCCATTCGCCCAGAATGGAATCTTTGACATTAACCAGCAGTGACTGACGTGGTGATATGATGGTAAAGGTGATAGCCTGACAATGGAACATTTCCCACTTTCGGTCATTTTTCTGCCAGATAAGATCCCAGTACTGTTTCTATTCCACAAGGACTCCACTATATATCTTACCTTCATAATTTTGGCATAATGGAGGTCTATGTTTCCCAACATGTCTTTGAAGGGTATGTCCAAAAAATGCGGAAAAAAAACCCTTACAGATGAATTGAGACTACAAGGATCTGGCACATTTTGACATCCAAAAATCCACCCGGAGGTGAAGTCCCGCGAGGTGACGGCGAGGGAATTCTGGGGATGGTGGTGACGGGAGGTGAATCCCACATTACGCACCACATCGAACATCGACTTCATTGTTGAATTATTTAACCAAATTTAACCAAAAAATACCAAAATTCAACCACATTCATTTCATGTCATTTCAGTCATTTTTTGGGATGTTGTGGGCCAAAAGGAACATGTTCAGTTGAAATGCTATTCAGGGTGAAAGGAGGCATCTGATGAAATGATTCCAACTCCTAAAACCCTTTGAAGTGTGTCCAGGGGTAATTTTTTGATCAAATTTGTTCTTAATTGTTCTTATCTTTGATTTCAAGGCCCACATACAGAGTGCACAGTTTGCAGGGTTTGCAAGGCCTGTTTCAGCACTTTCTATGAAGCGAAATAGAACCAACACATCATTTGAAGGACTTCCAACCAATCTTTGGATCTCGGATTATGGTTTTAGGCGCTTCTTTTCCGTCCCTATGATTAAAAATCAGCAAACAAGTAGCAACTGAAATTCATCCACTTTTGCCAATCATTAACTGATTAACTGACCAGATCCACATCCTCACTTTGAACTCACTCCCCGTCTGGCAATTTTGGGTAGAGGTGAACTAATTATATGAATTGACCTACCCGCCAAGCGGGCAAGCTGAGGAAGTTTCCGGGAAGTAATGCAGCAGGGGACACTTATCTCATTTTATCTCATCTGATCGCTTTATACATCTCTATACTACATTCTAATTGCCATTGGTTTCTACCTTCAACCTCTACACACACTTGTTGAAGTCGCACCGACTAGATATATGTTGCAATCAGGTGGGGAAAGGGCAAAGCTGCAGGGAAAGTCGCTCCAACTTGCCTTCACGTGCGCAGGAGCAGTCATAGAATTGCATTTGCTGAAACGTCAATGTCCAAAAGAAGTTAAGAAGTTAAGAAATGAGAAAGAAAGGAGGAAAAGGAAAGAAAAGCAGAGAAGAGGAAAGAAAAGGAAAGAAAAGGAAAAAGGAGAGAAAAAAAAGGAAAGACAAGGAAAGAAAAGGAGAGAAAAGGAAAGCAAAGGAAAGAACAGGAAAGAGCAGGAAAGAAGATAAGCGAGGGGTGGAGCAAGTGAGCACCTTGGATCTCGTTTGTACTTTGTTCGCACCTCGTTAAATTCACCAGGCATGTGCAGCCAAAGACAGATTCAAGCATGCCCCAAACCTGTGTTTTGATATTTCCACGCAACATCCGTTCACAATGGCTTTGGCACTGGAAACCCAGCTGAAATGCGCCTCCAAAGCAGCACTTTCACGATCCAGCTAAAACTTGCGTTTACATTGGTGTTCCCATCAATATTTTAGGACGAAAAAAATTCAAAATGCAAGTTGTTTTTCTATGGCACAACTTGCGTTCACGCAGTGATTTACACAGTCTTGCAAAATATGCTGTTTCAATCATTTGTCAACAAATCCGCGGAGTTCCTTCGGGGAAGTGGTTTTTTTGATGTGTTGGTGCGCGGAGTTCCGTGCGGGAAAGAACTCCCTGAGCCAAGTTGGCGTGACTTCCGTGGTTTTTTGTACTGTGTACAATGTGTACGACATGAAACATTCATAAAACACCAGAGAAACACCAAAGAATCGAGCGCAAGGCACTAACAATCAGCTACACCCAGCCGGCCTCTCCTGTGGCCATTCCATTGCGATTGCAACACAGCGTGGCACAACGCAGTCACCGGCATGAAACATTTCGGATCCGCAGATGGTGCAGATGTCCAGGCCCAACCATTTTGGCAGCCGTCGATCATAAGCCGACCATATCTGCCAGTGTCCACAACCGTCAAACGAAGTTCCCTTAATCGACACGGAGACCTGCTTCATACAAACAAACAAAACGTTTCGAACTATTCGGTCCTGTTGCAGCACTTCCACATCAAGGACTTTGTATGAACAAGTCCCAGTTTGTTTAACACAGGTTCCGACAGGTTCCGACCGTAGCTTCAGCCTTGGATCACAGGAAGAATGCCTTGCACATCAATTAGGCATTTCAGGCAGCCACTCACTCAATGTCAGTTGCATCTTCTCTTCTCAGCTCTACCCTATTGTCCTCTACTCGTCTCTACTGTTCTACACAAATCTTCTGTATACTCTTTAAATCTACTCTTCTCGGTTTCCTTTGGAGATTGTACAGTTTCTTCACATGGTAGGCCCAGAATATCGGGCCTACTGTTTCTTGGGATCTAAACCATTATCTTAGAGCTGGAAAATGGGGTATTGTCAACCGTGGTTAGATAATTTCATACCCGCGGTACTCTTTCATCATTTGCCACACATGTGGATCTATACTGAGCAGGCTCAGGCGGCGCAGTGCCCTGATGGGACAACGGATTTTAGCTACGATTGGACGGGCTTGGACGGACAATTTCCCAGCGGTGGCTCCTTGACCCCAACGCCACCGACGGGGATTGCGCCCAATCTCAACCTGGATGCATGGCAAAAATCGGCTGGTTGCAATCTGGGTGGTTTGGGGTTTATAAGAAGGAAATGTGATGGTTTCGCCAAATTGTTCGTTTGAGCTCGCTGAAAGTGGGGTCCCGAAGTGCAATGTTTTCCCAAAACTGGGTCACATCTTTTGCACCACCCCGAAATCGACTGGTAGCCAGGCGATGTTTAAATTCCGAAACATGGTTCTCGACGTTTTGTCCGCAGAATGACTTCTATGAGATCACCGGAAAGAAAGAGAAATAACTCAACATAATTACTTTAGGGGGTTTTCTTTTCCGTCGTCTATCTTTCTGAGGACCTGTACATCTTTTCATCAGGCTTCCCTCCAAGTGCTGTCTATCCATGAACCCCACTCAATCTTTTGGGTCCGGCGAGCGGGATGGAAATGGTACTGCCTTTGCTTTTACTCGCCAGCGTGGACAACTCCTCTTCAGCCAGATGCCAGATGTGAGAATATTTGGGGGTTGAAAATCAAAAAGAAATATTCTCTTCTTACCAAATCTTTGCTGAACGACAAAGGAACGATGAGAAGAAAAGGCATCAAACTTGCAAACATACTTTCATCTGCAAACAATTTCTTCCCATCTATTGCATCTACGTCAGTATTTTGTTTCCCGAGCTCCGCGTTTCTTCACCTCGCTCTCTCGGATGAGGTAGGTTTTGACAGCAACACTAATGGCCGCTGCATCGGCGCGGCCATTTGGAATTTCGACATCAACGACTTTGACTCTGAGCCAAACGGCATGGGCGATGCAGATTTGTGGCTCGGAAACATTCGGATGATCCAACTCTTCAACCTTTTTTGAGAATTTACTTTATCTTTGTGTGATGATATTTCATCTAATTATTCTTTTTGTGCAAAACAACCGGAGTTTCTGAAGATTACTGACACCATTTACACTACTGTGCATGTACTTAGAGGATCATCTCAGAGCCACACGGATTTTCGCTGGATTCGATTCGATGAAGAACGCATTTGGGGTTTATGCAAAAACTGGTCGTTCGATGTTGTTCGCCGCTGATAGTAATTGCAATTATGTGAGAACATGGAGGCGTCATGAGCGCGAAGAGAGGCAGCAGCCCTCCCAACCCAAACTCCGTGGGGCTCAGCCGGCCAACTGGTGCAGCGCGCCAACAGCCAAGCGCGGAAGCAATAAGCCCCAGAGTAATCTGGCGAGGCAAAGGCTGACACGCTTTGCACCCGCATCACTTATTTCCTCAGCGACCCCAAGCAGATGCTAGGCGAGAGGCTGCACCTGAAAAGGCTGTACTTCCAAGAATGGGACTGACTGAGTCGCAAGAGATTTTGTTGGATTTGGTTCACAGGACATCGGCTTTGAGAACATTTTCACCTCGGAGACGATCGGTTTTCAACTGGTTCTTTGCCTACGAAGCCGTCTGGCAGTCATGTAATCCTCCACTTTCCCAAGGGGCAATATCATTGTTTTGTTGGCCAGACAAGACCGCGGAAGGTAAATGCCCTCTTCTCCATTGGCAACCTCCGTGAAGAGCTTTATTTTGTGCTACATGGCTGCTAAAGCTTCCAAAATGTTCCGTCAATTTGCCCAGGTCATGCTCTCCTTTACTGTCTTCTTCGTCCTCCCCTTCTGGCCAATCTTCCTCTTCGCAATCAGGACCAGCATGAATCTTCTTTTCGTTCAGTGCACAGGTGATGGGCTATGTGTCCGACATGCCATTGCAGGGGAGCTGTACCTGGCAAGTGCCCAACCTCTGTATGGCACGTGGCACCAGATATGCGCTAACATTGTTTGCTGGGTTCAGGCTATAGTAGCTGGTCCAGCAGCAGGCGACAGAAAAGGTATTCCCTCCACATTTTCTGTGTTGCAAGCCAAGCCTCGCATCTTCCGAGCCTGTGAACTCCAGGCTGTGGAACCAAAGGTTCTGTGAGGAACTTCTGGTTGGCCGCTTCACACAGCCAGTAAAATAGCAAGAAGTCCATGAAGGAACCAAGGCAGAAGTGCCACAGAGCGAAGCGAAAGGTGCGGCGACTAGGTTGCCGGATGGATTGTTGATCGACACGGATTGCAAGAAATGTGGCTAAGCCCCACGTGAGCTTGGGGCTTTGGACGCCAATGGAGCTCGTGTGCCTACTGGTATTGCACCGCCCCATCGCGACCAATGCCTGTCAGCGGCTAAACGGCTCAACGTTGCCAGCTGTGAGTGAGTCGACCATCGAGAGTGGCGGGACATCTTAGCCAGATGTGAGACACTGCCTCTACGCCAGGAGCATCAAAAGAGAGAACTTCAGTGTCCCAGGCACAAGCGACGAAGCGACCAGTCCAGGCCAGGGACGATCTTACAAGACAAGGAGCCGGAGACCATCATGCATGCTATCCAACAATTGTGGATGCAAGGTCACCTTGGACAGTGGAAGTCGCTTTCGTCCCACCGGAAGCCCATCACCGCATCGGAAAGATGGGGGAAGATTGAACAGGACTGCCGGCCCCACCGCGCCCCCGGCAGAGGAAATGACCCAACGCCAAGGTCAAGAGTTTGAATTTGGTCAAAGCCTGTAGTTGTGTGCCTGCAGAGATCCTGAATCATCAACACGGGCTCGCCGCTCAGGTTCATCCCCACAAGCACCGCTAGCGATCGCTCAGTTAAGGCTCCAAGCACAGAAGGTGGCAGCGGAAATGAGCATGGGCATCCAGGTGAGACGCGCGTTGTTGCGCATAAATGAGTGGACGGCAACCCGATAGAAGTATGGAAAGAGCAACCCCGCTGGAACTCCACAGCAAAGCGCGGATACCTGATCTGTCGCCTCATCAGGTTGGATGGCTGCTGCGCGTAGGTGCAGATCAGATGGCAAGCCGTAAAGCTTGACTGGGGCTAGAGACATGGCAGGAGAGATCGGTTGGTGGAACAGAATTTCATCAAAAGAGAAGCGGAAGAATATGTTTGCAATCCACTGCCTCTGCATGAAGCAGCGGTCCCAGAGATACAAGAAAATGGGACTGAAGGAGCTGAGCTTCCAGACATCTTGCAGCTTCCAAAAGCAGTGGGAGCGTACCAGCGGCCAGACGGAACCCACACCCCCAGAAGAGGAAATTAGATGAGCAGCATGGGCATGCCAGTGCAGTATGCCCAAGTGATGCAGTACAGGCCTAATCCGTAGAAGTAGAAAAAGCAGGGCCAGCAATGAGGACACCAGATCAAGAGCCAGTGCGGAACTAGGAGAGGCAGCAGACGAACCGGCAGTCAAGAGCATCGGTGTCGGACTGTCGGACATGATCCAGTCAAGCCTCGGGCAGATCAAGCAGTGTCAAGCAGTCGTCCCACTGAGCACAGGGGGGTATATGAGCTGCATGAACCAGGAGTAGACGAACCAGGAGCAGACAGATCTCCACCAACCCGCCTGAGGTCAGAAAGGATGATCAACTTGCTTCAAGTTATTGATTCAGAACACAAGTGCCACTTAGGTAGAAACCAACGGGACCCAGTTGCATTTATCAGGCGGAGGCACGAGCCTTCATGACGGGTCTGATTTTCAACAACCGAGTTTTGAGTGCACGAACATGTTATAGAGACAAAGATGTTGGCAGGTTGCCCATAGCTCGAGTTGTGGTACTCGGCCACAAAAGATCCAGATTTTTCTGCGTGTGAATTAGAGAGATGCTGCCACATGATCCTATATTGATTCTGTGCATGTGTGGTGCGAGCGGGAAGTTCAATGGTCAATCGCGAAGATGGAAGATGTTCGCAGCAAACGGCTCCACGGCATTTCTGCTGGGGCAACAGCCCGCGAAAGAAAGACCGGGAGATCTCTACTCTACACTCTACATGTTGCCACCTGGCAACCCAATCATGGGCCAAGTGCCAGACGGGTGCAAGCATCAACTTACACAGAATAGTCGAAAATATTTCTCTTGCTGGGCAAGCGCTCTGCAAGGTCACCAAGGTCACCCGGGACAGTTTCGGAGCCCGCACCTTCGCAGGAATGCCCACACCTTCGCAGAAATGAGAAACCACGTATCATCGTCTACCTCAACAAGTTGAATTTTCAGTTGTTCGACTTGAGCCCTTGTCGTTTGTGATTTGTGACCCTCCCAAATATGTCTACTTGGGGTGGGAAAGCAGGTATGCATCTCCAAAGATCCCCATGCAAAATAGTCAGTGTCTTGAACATAAACTTCTCGAGGAACGTGGGCACATTCACAGTGGCGCCATGGCATGCGCGCCGGTCGTTGACATACTTGACAACTGCAAAGGACTGCGCGTAGCAGACATTCTCAGGAACCTTGGCATTCGGTGGCACCAAGTCATACTGAGCAACGTCATGCATGCTCTTCATTCATCTTAAACTCTTCATCCGCAAAGAGCTCAGCAGTCAGATCTCCCTCCGCAGGAGCCGGGTCATTCTCAGGGCTTTGGCATTCTCAGGTTGGAAGTCATTCTTTGGCTTCTTGACACTCGTTGAGTGCTTCTGCTTGCGAGTCTTCATTGAAGATTCCAGCTCTTCACGTTTCTCTTCTGGGGTTTTCATTTTTCTTTGCAGCTACATAGCCAGGTTCGTCACTTGATCTTCGCGTGGCGAAGTTTGTCAGCCAGGGTTTGCCTCATACTGGCCTTAGTGAGACCATCGGCAAGTTGCCGGTCACTTGACGCCTATCGCATGGTGCCACCCAAGGAACCAATCGGCTCGTTGACCACCCGGATTTCAAGGCTTGACCTCCGGTCAATCACGTTGGAGATCAGGGACTCACGGTGGTATGAGTCATACAAAGCCTTGGCGTCGGTGATCATCACAGGGCTCAGCACCGAGCGGGCTTGAAGAAGTTCAGCCAGGCTCCAGTCAGGATGCCTCAGGTGCTCAAAGTAGCGGCAGGCAAACTCAGTGGCGTCGCTGGCACAACCAGCGGCTTGTGCTTCTGCTGACAAACTGCTCCGGGCCACTCGTGCCAAACGACATGATTTCCAGTCCAAGATGTTATGCATCTTCTCCAGACTCCAAAACATGGCTGTTCTTGAGAGGAGCCATCAGATCGCGAACAGAAACTCGCGTCAAAGGCAGTGATCATTCGGACCGGAGTTGATCTGGAGGACCAATTGGAGAAAAACAAAGTCCAACATCAGCGTTCTCCTTGGCAAACTTGAGCAAACCGTTTGCTTCAGCAGCAGTTCCAACCAGGCCTTTCGTAACTTCGCCAGAGAGCATTGAAGTACTGGCCTGTAGATGGGGTGACGATTGAACTGCTGGCCACTGAAGAGAGCCCATCAAACCTCTCAGATTGGAAATCTCTCGTGCTGAAAGTTCCAACAGAGGTCAAGTGACTGCAAAAATCGGTTTTCCAAAAAACCTTAAACATGTTTTTTTTGGAAATGCTTCTGGGGCAATCTGGGGCCTGCTCGCTAGCTTCGAATACATTTTATGATGTTAACCATGCACCCATGTGCAGAGGATATATGCAAATGCTGCGAAATGCTCTGGTCGGCATGCAGCGAATATGGAGTCGCCCGCAGTCGATTGCAGCGTTGGTCGCGAAATATTCGCAGCCCGGTTCATGCCCCATGCGCCGGTCTGCACGGTACTACAGCAGAAAGAATTATAATCCCACCGCCCGCCCTGCTCTTTCGCAGCTCCGATATTAGCGACTTGGAGGCAGTCGACAAAAATCGGGTTTTACCGCAAAAACCGATGCTTCCCACAGAAATTGACTTTTACCGCAAAAAACGATTTCTACTGCAAAAGCCGGTCTGTAGCGCACAAGCACCTTCGCAGCGACTGGAAGTTTGCAGTTT